CCATATTTTGAGGTTCAGGATCAAATTCCCCCGGAAAAAAAGAGAATGTTTAAAAAAGAGTAAGTATGTTTTTCTACACGATTTTCCAACTTTGAATATATTCTGCACTGATTAACAAGCCTATTAAAGGATACACCTGATAATGATTAAGTCTTAATTCTCAAAAATTTGATCACTTCATTAAAATTAAATATCAAAAGACTGTCATTGTTAAAAGATTTCCCTTGTTTAAAAAAGTTACATTTTAAATTAAATGTCAAACTGTCGTATAAATTGCCATTGTTAAAAGATTTCAAATACTAAAAAGTTACATTTTAAATTAAATGTCATAAAACTCGTTATTGTTAAAACATTTACCACCACTGGCTGAAAAAGATACATTTTAAAATGGCATAAAACTGTCATTGTTGAAAGATTTTACTTGCTAAAGACGTCATATTTTGAAATAAGTTTAATAAAACAGTCATAAAAATCGTTTAATCAGTAAAAATAAAGATTCTTTTATGTAAGTTTAGATCATTCATAGGTCACAGAAAAAGTTTACAGCTATCTGGGTTTTGCCACAATGTTAATTTGGGTACGCTGAGTTCTGTCAAAAATAAAAATAATTCTTAAAATAAACTACCAAAGCAAAAATTTTTAAATTTTTTTCATCGCAGATTTAAGTACTATTTTTGTACTTAATTCAATTTTAACTATACTTGTTCATATTACACAGTTTACAGTAGTAAGAATTACAAAAAAATTTAAAGGGTATACAGTATTTTCTATATAGCCACTAAAACAGCATAGATACTCCCAAAAGTATTAATACATTTTTAATTGAAGTATTTTACATTTTTTAAAATCAAAATTACCCTTTTAATATTTCCGTATTCCGAACTTCCGTAAAAAGATAACGCATTCTTCTCTTACGTTTGGTCTTAGAGGGTTAAAGATTACCAGTATATTACTTTTTTAAGTGCTTTGTACAATTATTAAACAAGTCTTTTTGAGTAAACAAAAATGCAAATGTTGAATGGATACAAATATGGAATTCTGAAGGAATTTACCCTGCTACTAACGTAAGGGCAAAATAGTAGTAAAGGATTGTTCTAAGCTTATAAAAAACTTTAACTAGTAAAAACTCTTGCTAGCTTATTAATCATCAGTAATAAGATAACTTTTAGAAACAATACAGTTGATAATTACAATACTGATAAAATTAGGACTTCGCTGATAATAAATATATTTAAAAAAAGAAAAGAAAATGATCAGCATTCATTTCAGTTTCGAACTATTTTGAGTGATTCTTCTTAAAAATTGCATTTTAATTTTATTTTATCGTTCTCTTATTAAATAATTAATGAAAGCATTTTAATTGTGCTTACCTGCATTTGGCGACATTCTATTCTATATCTATTAATTATATTTTTTAACTTATATGCTTTTGTACAAGAGGATAGAATTTCTAGGGTACAAGTATCTTTTTTATACACCTTTAAAATACAGGTTTTTCTTACAGGCCAGATGAGTTATTTCTTTTACTTTGAAGTACTTTGTAACCTTGAAGATTCATGTCGTATTTTTCTCTTTAAATTGATTATTTTTTATTGTGTAGTGTGTTATTATGTAACATAGTAATCACTCTTTGTGTGGAAATATAGTGTTTATTTATTAAAGGCTGAAAACAGTGTATGTCGCAGTTGTTTAAACATCAAAACTATTTGAACCTAACGCAAGGAAAAGTATTTATTTTTAAGCCTAGAATAAACTTTCTTAATTTACGGTACCTAATTTGGTTTAAACCTTGTCTAACTATCCAAGGCCAATTTATAGTGACTGAAAGGTACATGTTAAAAATTAGCAACTGCACGCTTTTAAAAAAAAATGAAGTGTAAATGTACAGTGTGTTCCATAAACTCCGCCCTTAACCCTTCGACTCAGAATTTTCATTATACAGATTTGTTCATTATTTTGTATTAATTTAGGTCAAAACAAGTGAAAAATATTATGTTTATCATTTTAATAATTTTTGGTTATAAAATACAGTCTCGGACAATGGTGTTTTTTTTTCAGTTAAAGGTAAAATTTGCCAAACCAGCACCTCCTAGAATAAGGTGTTCTAGGAGGTGTTGACCAAACACGGTTACCTTCCAAACAATAGTTTTTTCAAATTTCCAAAATTATTTAAAGTTATTTAGAACTAAGAAAAACAGTAAATCATCTTTGAAATTTCTTTAATTTACAAAATCAATTATTGATAAATTTTTGAATGTTAAAAAAAGGAACGAAAAAAATTTCAAACTACTTTTTATAGATTTTATATTTTTGAACAAATATAGATATAATGATCTAACAGATCTTATAGTAACTATTAGACTATTTTTTATAAATAAAAAATACTAAAATATATATAAAACAGGGACTGTCCCATCTGCTCCCAAGAATTTATGGGTATTTTCAGAAAACTTATTAAAAATGAAATAAAGGGGGATACTCATAGGGGTCGCAAATTAATATTTAACAGAGGAAAAACAAACACACTATCCGTGTTTGATAAATCACTGTATAGTATTAGAAAGTAGATGTAATAAACAACAAAATATGTTTGGTTGAAGATTGAAACTTAAAGGTATTCTTATAAACCATTTTTCAAGTCCTCTAAGTTCTTTCCCGATATCAAATCTGTCTTGTTGTTTATTGTATGAACATTCCTGTGCTGTGATTTACCAGATTTCGATAGATTTTATGATTTTTCTTCTCTTAAATAATTATTTGCAATATCCAATACGTATAGATTTATTTTCATAACTATTCTAAAAATACATGCTAAGGGTGGTTTACGCGCGACTCTCTACGGAATAAGTCAAGTAAATACACCCTATAACAAAAAAATCGACGCACCAAGAAGGAGTTGTCCGATTGAAACGAAAATTGGTGGATAGAACACGAGTGGAAATGCAACTANATAATTTATTGCAGAGTTACAGTAACAAGTTCAATAAGGTGTTGACCCGCCTCTAGCCTGGATACAAGCTGCCACACGGCCTGGCATAGATCGATAAAGCTCCCGGATGGTCTCTTGCGGTATCTCCTGCCAAATTCGATCCAATAGTCGAACGAGGTCATCAACATTCCGTGCCAGATGCAATCATCTTCCCACCATATCCCAGGCATGCTCGATGGGAGAGAGACCTGGTGATCTGGCAGATTAAGGAAGAGTTTGACAAACTTGCAGACAGTTCATAGCAACACGTGCCGTATGTGGTCTGGCATTGTCCTGCCGAAAAACCAGTCCAGGGCTCTTCAAAAGGAATGGTAGCAAAACAGGTTTTAGGATGTCGTCGACGAACCGCAGTGCAGTAAGTGTACCTCTAATGACGACCAAAGGGGTCCGGCTGTCAAAGGAAATGGCACCGCAGACCATAATGTCTCGTTGAGGGCCGGTGTGGCGTGCAATATTGAAAGCAGGATCCCCCCTCTGCCCTGTGTGTCTCCAAACACGTCTTCGATGATCGTCAGGACACAGTTGGAAGCGGGATTCGGTGCTAAAGACTATACGTCCCCAGTCAGCATCATTCCAGCCTGATCGAGCCAAAACAGTCATGCATACGAAATTTCAGAGCAATCGGATGATTGCTTCTTGGTGCGTCGATTTTTTTTATTATAGAGTGTAATTAAAATAAGGTATTAAGACAAATGTTTTATTCTTGTTTATTTATTGAAGTTTTGCAATTAAGTATTTTTTCATCTGTCCAAGATAGGTATTCGTGTGCACACTTAGTATTAGTTTTGTATTTTTATTATTTTTGGAAATTTTTTCCATAGTTTATTTGCTTTTTTTAATCTTTTATAGTCTTTATTTATTAGAAATGGAAGGCATGGAGGGGATTCATATGTTTGTCAAGATTGCTTTTATACTGACAGCTGACCTTTATTTATATTAAGGTTAACTGTTAGTAAGGTTACGGTTAGGTGCTAGTTATGTGTTGATAAATAATATTTTATACGCACATAACTTAAAGTAAAGTGATCTTATATAGCGCTGAAGGGTCTTATAGAAAAGTTCATTTCTGTTCGGAATGTTAGTTATACAGATATTTGTGTTTGCTAACGAAAAATATGTAATTTTTAGGCAAAAGTAAATTAGTATACTTTCAGACTTGTACAATGAAAAGTATAATTCTCATTTTGACAATCTTCAACAATGTTAAAGCTTGCATAAATTTGATTATTTACATTTGTCACAAATTTTTCAGATAAATGAAGAAACAAAATTTTTAAGTCGATTTTAATTTTTATCCGAATGCAAAAACAATTCAGCTCAAAAATTAAAAGACTACCGAATTTGAAATAAATTTAAAAATACGTTGGATTGAAAACTAAAGAACAACAATTTAAAATCTTCCCTTCATAATCATTATTTTATCAGCCAATTTTTTTAAAAAAATTAAGAAAACATGCCAAAAAATAAATAGTTACAAGGTATTCATCTAGCTAAAAAATGAAATATAAGTTAATTTATTCTTAAAAATTGTAATATAAAAGATATTTTAAAACACTTTCGAAAATTTTTGGAATTTCCATATCCAAAACATTTTGCAGTGGAGAGTCAAAAAGAAAGTAGTGATTCATTTTTCAAAATTTGTTTTAATTAAAACAATTATTTATATATATTTTTAAAAAAATATATTTACGATGTTAAGATTTGATTTCAAATTTTACTGTTTTCAAGACTTGCTTTTACTGTAAATGATAATATTTTTTAAGCTTTTACTTTTTAAGCAGTTTTTAAAAAGTAAAAGAAAAAAAAGCTGAAATTAAAAAAAAAAGTTAGGTAAAATTTTTTAGAGCAAAAAAAAGGAACCTTTGAAACAAAACATATCTAACTAGGTTGAAATCAAAGGAATTAAATAATAAAGATGTTACAAAGCAATAAAAATTAAAATATATAAGGAAAAATGTGCGTAAACATGACAATAAATAAAATAAAATTGAACATACTTTTTAAAACATACCTTGGCTTCTGTCTTTGTTTTCCATTGAATACATTGTTGCTTTTTCATTCCTTTTCCCTACTATGGACCTTGTTTCTGAAATCCCTTGATTAACATCCATGCAACAATTATTCAATTCTTTCTTTGGTAGCATTTGAAAGATAATGGTATCTTTGCCGACTGAGGTAGGAAATAAAATATTTTACTTTCATTCACATAAAATGATAAGATGATACGTAACTTTTATTCCTATTAAATGTCATATCAGCAGATAAATTTTATTTCTAAAATGTCGCGTTAAAAATGCGAGAAATTTATTGAGTCACGTTTTACAACTACTTTGCATCAATCAAATGTTTTTGTTCTTAAAAGTTGATACTTCATGTATGTCTTCAATTTTTTTTTAATATTTTAAAATGTTATTTTGATTTAAAAGCTACTATTACAGAATTTCCTGCTGAATAATAATTAAAAAAGTACTTAGTGCTCATATTTTAAAATTGAGTTTTGAGGAAAATAAGCATACTTTTATTTTCTTTTATTTTTATAAGCATACTTTTCTTAAGCATGCTTTTATTTTTATTCTGTTTTGCTAGTACTTCTATTCTAAGGTTCTTCGTTACTTTTGAAATTTCATAATTTCGTTACTTGTTTGCCGTTATTTAAAACAAAAATATTAAAAAAAATATATGGTTACTTTTTCTTTCAAACTTCCCAGCAAAACCTATTTCTCTGTTCCTTTTTTTTTAGTATTCTACTCTCAGCTTTATTTCTATATATACCAGATATTTGTTTCTAAACCACCGGTTCGCAAACATGTATTTAAATAGATTTAAGGTTAAAATATCTTTCATTATTGAGAGCATATAAATGATCAGAAACGAACTGGTCAAAACATTGTTTAACACTAGATTGCTCAAGGAAGTCATTTTGACTGCTATTTAACTACTTTTTCATTTGCGAAAAAATGCACAAATAATAATGCACAAATTATTTTTTTACCGAGTGAAGTAAATTTTTTTTATTGTCAATATTTACTAATAACTTGTTATATAACTGTAAATAATATAAAAAATATCAAAAGTCAATTCTTTCACAATGCAGTAATTTTGACTGCTTTTGGGCGATATAGGTATATACTAAGTTTCAGTCTTTCTAGTGTTAAGTACCACGCTTTTGTAAATGTAAAATGCGTGCCGAAAGCCAAAATTACTAGACTTACCTGTCTGCTGTAAGACACTGAAATCTTTTACCGCTCATGCGAGTAAGGCGGGTTGAGAAACACTGTACAAGATTGCTTTCTTTCTCTAATATATTTCTTCATTTTTTACCGCTCAACGTTTATTGTATTGAGTATTATTTCTAGCGCTTGCTTCAAGGTTATTTATCCAGTCTGAATATGATAGAGAACATATTGTTACGAATTTGTAAAAATGTGGATTATTTTGCAGATATTCTTTTGTTGTTAGGCTAAATATCTCAAACGGACCTAAATATACAGTTTAAAAATTTTTTTAAAAAAAGTGGCGTAATTCTAACGTAATTTAAAAAATGGAAGATATAAGAGAAAAAATAACGCCTCATGNAAAAAAATATAAAAAGTATTAAAAAATAATTTTAAGCAAATTTCTTTACGCCCTAGTTATTCTTTCACAATGCAGTCATTTTGACTGCTTTTGGGCGATATAGGTATATACTAAGTTCCAGTCTTTCTAGTGTTAAGTACCACGCTTTTGTAAATGTAAAATGCGTGACGAAAGCCAAAATTACTAGACTTACCTGTCTGCTGTAAGACACTGAAATATTTTACCGGTCATGCGAGTAAGGCGGGTTGAGAAACACTTCACAAGATTGCTTTCTTTCTGTAATATATTTCTTCATTTTTTACCGCTCAACGTTTATTGTATTGAATATTGTTTCTAGTCCTTGCTTGAAGGTTATTTATCCAGTCTGAATATGATAGAGAACATATTGTTACGAATTTGTAAAAATGTGTATTATTTCGTAAATATTCTTTTGTTGTTAGGCTAAATATCTCAAACGGACCTTAAATATACAGTTAAATTTGTTAAAAAAAGTGGCGTAATTCTAACGTAATTTAAAAAAATGGAAGATATAAGAGAAAAAATAACGCCTAATGCATTTCTCGTGGAAAATTTGATTTGGCGACATTTTTGGCGATACTTGGAGACCATTTTAGCAACAAAATGATAGTTCTGGAAAATGCGAGTTTCGAAGCGATAGGACTAATATGTTATAACCGTCGTTGAACAGCCGACCCAATTTTTGGATTTTCGACTACTAATGTTCAACTCCGTAGCCTTGTAATTTTGAACCCAATCCAGAAGACAAGGGAACTCCTGGATCAAATATAAGGAGAAATTTGTCTTCGTGGGGAACTTTTTGATGGAACTAACCCGCATTTGCGTTACATGAATAGGGAGACCACGAGAACTTCCCACGGTTAGCCTGACGGTAAAGGGACTCTAACCCATGATCCGTCTACCACTGAGGATATTTCACGTCAGCACTGTGGTCTGTGCTAGCCGGATAAGGAATTCGTATCGACTAGCCATCGCCGGGATCGAACCCCGGTTCACCTCATTGGAATTCCAATGAGAATTCCATCGCCAAGCTAATATAAATAGAAGTCATTAAGAAACTCAAGAAAAAAGATCCAGGTTTTGATCTAATTACTAAGCTTATGGTCAAAAATCTCCCACGCTGCAGAATTAAGCAACTTGTTAAGATCATTAATGCTTGCTTTCAGACTGTGCTACATCTCCAAATCCTGGAAGCATGCAGCAGTTATTTTATTCCCAAAACCAGGCAAAAACCATTTCCTTGCTGAAAATTATAGCCCAGTCAGTCTCCTATCTTCACTATCCAAGATAATGGAATAATAATTAATTTAAATAGAATTTTACCCTACATTAATTCCTACCAAAAGAACAATTCGGATTTAGGAGAAATCTCTCTACCACAAAACAGCTCATCAGAATTAATGCTTGACGTTGCCAAGGCGTTTCATCGCGTCTGGCACTTCGGTCTTATTTCCAAAAGGATTCAAAATATCATCCAACTCCTATCTTAAAAATAGGACCTTCAAAATTGAAATCAACGATTTCTCCTCAACAAGAAACATTCAAGCCGACGTTCCACAATTCTCGATACTTGGACCCATTCTATTTTTGACTTACTGCACAGATTTCCATGTTAACAGAGAATATCAAAATCAGCTTACTGCCTTTTACGCCAACGGCACGGATATTTTAAGCAGATCTATGAATCCTAACAGAGAAGTTAATAAATTCCAAGACAATATTAACGAAATTGAAAAGTGGTGCAGTAAATGGAAAGTCTAATCCTCCACAAAATATAATCTCATGATCATCAGAAAACACAATGAAAGTAAAGTGAAAGAAGATAGTAAAATCGCATTATTCATCAATGAGGATAGTCCTTAAGTAGCTAAAGCCAAATATCTAGGCATCACCATCAGCTGCTCTCTTAACTGGAAACTGCACATAATCCTAAAAAGCTTGGCTTAACCCCGTCCCGCCTCCTGTGGGAGGCATCCGGGGAGGCAGATGATCCATTGAACAAACATAGTGTAGTTTTTACAAGTGAAAGATGATAAATATAATGGCAACTATGAACAGAAGTAAAGATGATCAGTACAATAGACAAAATATGGTTTTTACAGGTGAGTGAAGGGGTTGTACGACGCAACCACACTGCTCAGTGAGCAATTATAGCAATTACACTAATAAGTTGAGACGTATGCGATGATGATGATTACAGTGGAAAGCATGAACAGAATCCTAAAAAAAAACTGAAGCTGCTTATCATTCCCTTAAACCATTATTAAATTGCGATTCTAAAATGGCCCCAAATACTACTGGTCAGAATCGTTTCACCGAATCCCTCGGATTTTCCCATCTTATGGGCGTATTCGTGATCTATCACCATCCCATCGACCAAGCCATTAGACTAGATTGGCAATCTTTATCGCTTTAGTGTGGACCATGATAATCGCCAAGTGAGGGAAGGGTTATGGAAAGGAGTGGCTCTCTCGTAAAATATAACCAGTACATTCGTTTGTTGTCGTCTGCTGCAGAAGTACTAAGAGGATGTATGCTTCTAGAAAGATCTCAGATTATGAGGTAGAAAAGATTATAAGATCACGTTCCTGAGACATGTGCTTTATTCAAAGCTCAGCCCCGTCCCGCCCCCTAGCGGGGGCATCCTGGGTGAAAATTTATTGATCAACAAAAGGGTACAAAACAATTTCCAGTTTGAAAACAAAAGAAGATGAGAATTTACAATGATAAACATGAATAATAAAACAAAATAAATTAATAATAAATAAATATAATAATATTTAATGCTTATCCTAAATTTTAGTTGACATGCTATAATTTTAGTTGACAATGACTTGTATGCCTTAGATTTGAATAGAAACGAATTTGATATAGCATTACATTATTTCTTAAGTATCTTTGAATATTACTAACAACAACAATCTGAAAAAGAATACAGTATATAACATTGGATCCAAGAGGGTAAAGAGGTAAGTGAAAGATTGTAAACATTAAAAACATTGGATCGAAAGGTAAATTAGACAAGCAAAAGCAATTTAAACGTGATAAAACATTGAAAACATTGATATTGAACCAACAGGCTTCCAGAATATTAAAATATAAAAATATCATTGAACCAAAAGGGTTCCAAAGTTAGAAACAAATAAATGACAATGAAGTGAAATGAGTAGAATTAAAAGAAAGCATTAAGAGCATTTAGCTGTTTGTGGCAGGGCAGGTGGCCGCTATGCAACCCCCAGAGATGTTAATTTGGTGCAAATATCTAAATTTGATTCATATGAAGAGGGTCCATGAGATCGTCTGGTGTCATTATATCTACCAGGGTACGTTTAATAATCTCAGTGATAGCATATTTTTGTGCTTTAGATCGGAACCAAAGAGTCAAGTCGTTCATATTACGAAAGAGATTTCCTCGGAGTGTCCGGAATTTGTCACATTCGGCGATTAGGTGTTTAAGAGATTGATATTTTCCACAGTATTTACAGCTGGCTGTAGCTTGGAATAGCCTAGCTTGATGCTCGCCGAAAACTCCGTGACCCGTGAGAAATTGATTAAGAAAGAAATCGCTGGAGAGTCTATTCTCCTTGACCATTGGGTAGAAGATATAGGTATGTCTCCCATTTGTAGTGGTTGACCACCTGTCCTGCCAGATTGCGTTGCTTACCTGCCTCAGTCTGTAATTGATTTGTGGGTTTGAAAGAGGATAATAGTGATCAACCCCGCCAAGAAGAGTGCCTTGTTTGGCAAGTGCATCAGCTTCCTCGTTGCCAATGTCCCCAGAATGTGCCTTTACCCAGTTGAGACAGCATGTTTTATATTTGACCGTGTTCTTAATTTCTTCCACAAGTGGGTCATTCGAATTTGGGTTTTCTAGCGACTGCAGCGAGGATTTAGAATCAGAGAATAAATTAAATGCATTAATATTTTCAGCGTTTGCCCATGTGATTGCAAGTTTGATGGCAGTGAGTTCGGCGGGGTATACACTTGCATCGTTATTAAGTCTAGCACAGTGTTGATAAATGGTGTTGTTATTAAGCTTCACCAAGAAACCACATCCCACTCTATCCTCGGTGAACCCTGTATCCGAATTTGTTATTTGTCTTCTACTGCCGTCAGTATAGATTTTATAACCCACACCCCTCGGTGAGCTGTAGCCCCTTTCTATCATCTTGAGATCCAAGGGATTATGGTGTACTGGGGTATATATCGGTAAGGCATCTAGTTCTCTGATTTGGAAGTCTCTATCGAAAATGATTTGCTTATCTCGCGTCCACCGATGTTTCTTTATAGTACAAGTCTGTCTAATTTTTAGGTCGATGGGGGGAATACCAGCAAGAATTTAGAGAGCCTCTATGCTGGTGGTGGAGTAGCATTTGGTGATATTTAGAAGGGGGATGCGCTGTATGGAGTTCAGCTTCTTATTAATTTTCACGTTATTTTTATACCATACAGAGGCTCCGTAAGTGATTTTTTTTTCAATAGCTCGGAGATAAATTTGCTTAAGAATGTTTGGGGACAAGCCCCAGGTGGCTCTACTGAACTGTTTTATTTTGTTGTAAAAGATGTCGACATCGGACTTTAACTGCTCGAGATGTGGCATCCAGCTCAACCGAGGGTCAAAAATCACGCCAAGATATTTAAGTGTTTTTACTGGTTTAATATTGGCAGTAGTTATGCCAGCCATTTTGATACGCGGTTGCCTTCTAAGACATTTGGCGTCTTTAAGAAATGTGATCAATTTTGTCTTTTCAGCTGCGAAAACAAGGCTGTGTTCCCTGGCCCAGTCCGTAAGAGACTGTATAATATCTGTGCCTATTTTGTCGATTCTATAGAGTATTGAATGCTTCATCAGTAAAAAGACGTCATCGGCGAAGGCAAGCAAACTGCAATCATAATAGTTAAAATTGACGTGTGCTTTATTAATACACTTGTTGATAATTTCAATGGCTGTAACAAAATAAAAAAAAGAAAAGAAACTGAATCAGAATACATTTTTGAAAAAGTTTGTATCATATGCACACTTTTACCTTCTTTTTTTTAATTCTTGCCTTTGTTTGTTTATTATTTCTTAAAAACAAGATTATATAGCTAACAAGGAATCAAAAAAGGTTATATTTTTTTATAACCGTCGTTGAACAGCCGACCCAATTTTATGTGTTTACGACTACTAATGTTCAACTCCGTAGCCTTGTAATTTTGAACCCAATCCAGAAGACAAGGATACTCCTAGATCGAGTATTAGGAGAAATTTGCCATCGTGGAGGACTTTTTGGAACTAACCCGCATTTGCGTTACATGGGGAGGAAGACCGCGATAACCTCTGAGGGTTAGCCTGACGGCAAGGGAACTCTAACCCATGATCTGTCTACCACTGAGGATATTTCACGTCAGCATTGTGATCGGTGCAAGTCGGATGCGGAATTTGTATCGACTGGGATTCGATCCCGGGTTATAAAATTGAAACGATACAGGGAAGATTAGCATGGCCCCTACGCAAGGATGACACGCACCTCCTCCACCCGATTGCTTTGCAATGATTTTTGTTTCTTGACACTTGAATCATTCACTTTATAACTACTTCGCTGCTTTCTTTGTTTCAGAAGAATTGAAATTATTTTCCTGTTTCATTTTGTGCCGATAATCAACCACCTAAAAAGTTTATTTTGCAGAACTGTTGGGATCTATTTGTAAATCCAAATCACTTCTCAAGTTAATAAATCACAGTAGGAGGTAATCAACACTGCCCGCATAATAAATTTGGTAAATTTGAACGTAAAATTCAGTTTTCAACGGCATTGAAGAGGCGTGACTAGGGTAAACAATGCTTCCGTCAAATCCCGAATTAGTTCACTACATAAAATATTATATTCTGTATTGTTTTATTTATTTATTTTTTGTATTTTTTTATTTATTAATAGTATGATTGATTAACAACGAAGCTTTTAAAACACTTTTAATAATCAGAGATAAATTCGATGTTATTTACGCTTTTGACACGTTCACGCCGGGAAAAGTGAAGATACTGGTACGGGAAAAGAGAAAATACTGGTAGAAGAACTATTTCAATATTAGATAATATTCGGGAGGAGTTAATCTAGTCTCAACAATAACAATTCACTGTAGGGAAATTTATCACGGCGAAGAAGCAATTCAATATAAAAATTGCATCCGCTAAAAACAAATGGTAGTTATGGATTTTTATTATTCCCGGAAAAAAAAACTAAAAAATGAAATGTATTGTTACCAGTTTTTACTCCGGTACGCTGCCAAGATGAGATAATCTAGCGTGACCCCCCGCTGGGTCACCCCGGCGTGAACGTGTTAATATTCATGTATTGATATTGATGACCTTAAAATGTTTCATAACTGAGTTTTCACGTGATACAGTATTATGTCAATCGTTATCTATCAACTTTTGTTTTTAAATAAAATATGATTTCAATACTCATTTATGATTTTAATAATAATTTTAATTCAAAACGGTGCAATTTTTTACATTTTGAAAAGAAGATTCCACAGAAATTAAATATGACGTTAAAATATTCGCATAGAGATATTAATGTACTTTGCCCATTTATGTACTTTCATTTGTGCTTTATTCAAGTTGTTGTTTGCTCTAGATATAATAGCATATTTTATAAAATAAAATTTTAAGCGAAACTTCAAAGTAAATGTAATTTCTTGCCTAATATTAATCATATAAATTACTGATTACACGATATTGCAGGTCCGCTCTTTCAATAATATTTACGAAAAACTAATAAATAAGGTATCATTAATCATTTACTCCTGATTTCTTCAAACAATTTCGCAAATTAGTTTTTTATCAATTGTTTGTTAAGCGATATTAAATTAGGATTTTCCTACTTTTACCGTAATTAATTATTACCAAAAATAGGTATAGTTATCGATTAATCATATTGACCTGAATAATACTGATTGAATTTAAACACTCTTAACTTCTTGAGTTCCAGTTTCATACATCTTATGAAGATACTTTCATCTTTGTTGACTCATTGTTAATGTACTGACAAAATCTTTTTGATATGAAGTATTTTAATATTGAAAACTTAAATATTTTCGTTACTTTCTAAATAATTGGATAAATATAAATTTTCAGAGTCATAAGTGATGATAAATTCTGTTTTCGGTTGTTCTTTACTAGCTCTCAAAAATATGGAAATATAAATACTTTTAAAATTTCTTCTACAAATAGATAGTGTTTAATATATTTATAACGTTTGATTGGAAAAAAGAAGCTACATAAGAAATATAAAGATGTAAAAAATAGCGATTGTTGCTTTTATTAATTGATTCACTAAATGAATTTATCAAATTGATATTTATTGATTCATCAAAGATATAAAACGAGAAACAAAGTTTTTGAATTTTGTTTTAATAAATAGATTTGATTTTAAATATTTAAAATAATTTATAAATAGAAGAAAACATTTTGGAAAAAATAAGAATAAACGGTATTGGTTCTACTGCTAGTTCACCGTCTTGTTTGAAATAAAAAGTTTATAAAGTTATCAATTTGAAAGAAAACTTCGAAAGTTTCTGCAATACTGTGTAACAAAAGAACAAAGAATTGGAAGAATAAGAAGAATAGAATAAGAAAAATTGGATAAACTCAAATGTTAATTGCTCTTGTATAAAAGTGTAATACTGGCTAACAGAATCAGTAGAATTTACAATAAGAACAATTGTTTTTTTTCCCTCAATTGTTGGCTGCTTTTTAAATAAGAAAAAAAGCTGTTAAGATTCTCAGAAGAAAACGTAAAATGTAACTGCTTTACTGATTAATAAAATAATAAGAATCAAAAATAAGAAAAATTGAATCTACTTAACTGCTGACTGCATATTTTTTTATGGAAAAAATTCTAACAAAAACTGCAATACTGAGTAGTAAATAAGCAGAATCAACAATAAGACGAGTTCAATATATTCAGTTAATAGCTGCATTTCATAAATTAAAAGAAGAAGAAATTACAGTTTTTCATAAGAACAGTTCTTAGCTACAACACTGGATAACAGAATAAAGATAATCAAAAATAAAAAGAAATTAAAACATTTAATTACTGGCTGCTTTTTATTTAAAAAAAGTTCTTTCAATTTTTTGCAGAGTAATTCAAAAATCACTGCAGTTCTAAGTAACCAGATAAGAAGAGTTGATTGTATTTGCTGATTCTCTATTTCGTAGAACAAATATTTAAAATGAAAGCTATAAAAGTGACGGCAATATTTACTAACAAATTATCGAACTCTCTAATTGAACGAAGCTGGCTGATGTGTATGTTTTCAATTATTGGTATTAAAATAAATAATCAACCGACTATTCTGAACAAACAGGGTACTTTTTGCAAAGAAGGTATTGTTTCTCCGTTTAATTTATTTCTTGCTGTTGCGGCTATCTACTATGCATCCGCAATGCTATCAAGATTAGAAAAAGATCGCATATTTGGGATTGTTGGATTAATGTTTTCTGTTTTGTTAAAGTATTATCTACTTACATGCGGAATTGACTTTACCAATGTTTTATGTAGCCTTCGAGGCACCAGCAAAAAATGTCGAGGAGACAAAAAAATTATTCGAATAATTAACTTAAGTATCCTCATAACAATATTACATCCCTTCCTTTTAGCGTTTATTCTAATTACTTGCTTAAACTTTTACAGGGATGAAAAAACTATCAGATTTTGGCTTTTAGGGCAATGCTATCCAACAAATAGGACTTTGGAAAATATTCTTATTTACGTTGGAATGTCTTTATTGTATTTCGCAAGGTTCTTTATATCCTTGTTGTCTTCAGTTATTTATACAGCTTTCTGTTTCGAGCTAACTCAAGCTTTGAATTCTCTGAGTCGAGATCTGGAAAAAAGTTGCCATTCGGACACTATTAGTGTTCAGATACGAAAATATCAAGCAATTTTGGAATCCTGTGAAACTTTCGAAAATCGGGGAAAAGTAATAATGTTCTTAATGATATCAAATTACTTTACAATTATTTATATAAGCTTAGCTTTATGTCTTGGACATGTGGAAGAAATGCCTGACTTCATGGGAATTACTGAAGCTTCTTTTTCTGTGGCCACTTCTCTATTTTCAATTGTGATTATAGTTATTTCAGCTGCCGGGATTCCCAAATCTATGGCGAAAACAGCTTCTAAATTTCAAATAATGTATCGGAATCAGCTAATAAATAACGATTTATATTTCAATTCAAATAAAAAAAGCATTCAATTATTGAAAGCTATGAGCGAAATACAACCGTTTCACTTGACCGTTTGTGACATGATTCGAGTTGACAAAGGTCTCATTCTTAGCACTTTCGGTTGCTTTTTGACATATTGCATCTTAATATCTCAAATGAATTCGGCATTAACTTTATAGTTCTAGACACAACAAATGTGTCCTTCTGAGCATCTTTTGGTGCTTTTTGATGCATTTTTTTTAAATTTCATTTATGATACACATTACATGTCTTGTCAATACAATACGAAAAACCAAGTTACATTTATCGTTGAATTCTTCAACTTTTTTTTTATTGCATTTATTTTCTTAAGACATAAAAATATCGATCTATCGAAACTTCGCGCAATATGGTGATCAAATTCGGATATGAAGAGTGATCTATCCTAATGCATGATAAAACGATAAATTGCTGTATTTTAATAATTGGTG